TAGTGGTCGTTCAGAGGAGGGCTTGAAAACTATGTTCAAGATTATCGTGCTCATTCTAGAAACAATATTCTACAGCCCAGTTAATATGAGGCTGAACCTTTGCTTACCGACCATACTTGATAGGCCGTTCGAAGAAGGGGACAAATCCACTAGACATTTGAATTATCTTAAGCAGGATTTCAGCATAACAGGTTCTTGTGTTCTAGTGAGCGAAAAGAAAGTTTTTTGGAACCACAAATGATCATCAGATTTTGAGCATTTTCTCTGAGTCATAAATCTCAAATAATGCCAGCTATACTACTTTATTAGTGCATGAGAGATGAGGCGGTAAGCCGTGTGGGATGGGCTCGGAAATCATAGAAGAACATGCGTAATAGGTAAATTGATTAGTATATATATATATATATAAGTACAGTAAGCCTCGTAAGGACCAAAAATTACCGCATCATTTTTGCGCACGTATTTATCAATATCTGGCTCTTGCTGCACAGAAATACAGTAATGCATGCTGTAGTCTCTTTTTCGTATGAATAAAATTTTATCATCGGGGTATTGCGCACTTGCATATAACGCTAAACCAAAACGTTTTTTTCGGCCCATAAAGGCGTCACTAGTAATGCATGCGGTACTATTTTACCAGTATTATTAGTAGTCCCCTTTTTGTAGAAATGAAAATTTATCATCGGGTTTTTGCACACTTTTCTTGTATATAACGCTAAACCAAAAAGTATTTTCGGCCCATAAAGGTGTCACTAGTAATACCAGTTATACTACTTTACTGATGATTTTTAAAAACATGACAAGATTACACATAAATCTTAGGTCTTGTCAATAATACTCGCAGCTGATCCGCGCAGGATTATTAAGTTTTTAACTTATTAAGTTTCGTTACCACATGCTGTCTTTGGAAAAGCTAGCGAACATCGAATCAAGAGTACTTTGCTGTGTAGTCAGTTTAGTCGTATAAGGCGTTATAATCATATATATCTGTGCGTGTTTTAATTTTGATCCACTGTTTGAAGAAGACGGAATTTGAGGCGTTCTCCCCCTGGCTGTCATTCAAGGGGATGGTATTTTGAATAACGTAGATGTGGCCGCAAGATACAAGGTTTGTTCAGTTTGTAATGATGCATTTCCTAGAATAGCGAGCCAAAACAATCGCAAGATCCACGGAAAGGTTTTATCTATTTTGAAATTATTGACAATCGTAAAAAAAAGAAATTTCAGAAATATTTCAGCTAAAGACGACTCTTTTTTTCGTGGGTATCGTTTCTTGTGTTTTATCCCTAATTTCTTTATCTTTCTCTTCACATCTTTGTAGTAATAATCAGATATGTAATTCGCGTCTCTAAGCAGACTTAGAAGTAAGTGAAAGGAAGCAAAAATAGCTATAATCCATGCAAGGTTTATTAAATCCTATTAGCAAAAAAGAGGTAAAGCAAAGAACGTGACTCTTTCTCGTTTTCTTCCTGACAAAACATTCATTCTTGATTCTTAAAATACGACATCCATCTGACAGATTCAAACAGCCCTACTATCGATTATTCCAGCTGTCTGGTCGAACCGGCGTCCTATCCATCTCAAGCAGAGCCTCATAATATAGTAATATAAATAAGCCATGTATAGAGACCCATATTGTGTATATACGTTATTAGAATGGTGGGGTAACCGATAAGCTCTTAATGCAAAAGTACTTAGCTACTCTTCAAGGTATTCTTAAGTCCTCTTCAACGTGGAGATATTCGGGAGTCCATGTTACCTTGTCTAAGTAGACGATCAGTGATAGATGTCTCCTTTATTACATACCAATACGCATCTATTCGCAAATAGATCACAAAATACCTGACATATACTCAATATATCGGGCAGGTCTTTAAACGTTGACACTAAAGTCATTCATTTCTGGTTTTGAATTTGTGTTTTTTGGCTTTGGGCGTTATTAGCACAAGGTGTGATGACTGCGCACGTATGATAAGAATCCCTCACAAATTTATTCAAACAGGCTGTCTAAACTCCCTAGGCGTTCGATATTTTTATTATTATCATACCACTGAATTCATTTAAATCTGTGCGAAGCACCTGGGCACGCCTTTGTTCTTGCGGTTAGTGCATTGTACTAATATTCTAACTGATGAAATTCAGACGTTGTGCACAAGTTTTTTAAACAACATCAAGCAATGAATCCAAGAGCCATGCTACTGATATTCATATGAGGTAAGCGGATCATCATTCCTGTCGATTTTTTTGTGAATACTGCGGTTTTACTTCTCTTGTAGTTTTACCCATTGTCCTGTCTAAGCCTATTGTGGTGTTATACGATACCCATAG